CTTGCATTTACTTCTCCCATTGCTTTACAGAGTGAATCCTCCTGCCCGAGAGGGAATGGACAGATAGCCCTGAAGCCTGCAAAGGCTTCCTGACTTCACCTTTCTAGGAGAATCTTATTCCAGGGAACAGTGTATCGGGTTTGCATGGCAAGGTTTTGGTCGTGGGGGGCTGCAGGGCTGGCTTCTGTGAGAAGCTGCTGGAAGCTTCCCCCATGTCCGACAGAGCCAATACCAGCCGGCTCCAAGATGGACCCACCGCTGGCCAAGGCCGAGCCCATCAGCGAAGGTGGTAGCACCGCTGGGAGAACAGATTGAAGAAGGGGGAAAAAAACTGCTCAAAGGCAGCCAGAGAGAGGAGTGAGAATATGTGAGAGGAACAGCCCTGCAGACCCCCAGGTCAGTGCAGAAGGAGGGGGAGGAGATGCTCCAGGCGCCGGAGCAGAGATTCCCCTGCAGCCCGTGGGGAAGACCCTGGTGAGGCAGGCTGTCCCCCTGCAGCCCAGGGAGGTCCACGGTGGAGCAGATCTCCACCTGCAGCCTGGGGAGGAGCCCACGCTGGAGCAGGTTTGCTGGCAGGACTTGTGACCCTGTGGGGGACCCACGCTGGAGCAGTTCATGAAGAACTGCAGCCCATGGGAAGGACACACACACTGGAAAAGTTCATGGAGGACTGTCTCCTGTGGGAGGGACCCCACAGTGGAGCAGGGGAAGAGTGTGATGAGTCCTGCCCCTGAGGAGGATGAAGCAGCAGAGATAACATGTGATGAACTGACCCCAACCCCCATTCCCCGTCCCCCTGCACCGATGGCGGGGAGGAGGGAGAGAAAACCGGGAGTGGGGTTGTCCTCGGGAAGAAGTGAGGGGTGGGGGAAGGTGTTCTAAGGTTTGGTTTTACTTCTCATTACCCTACTCTGATTTGATTGGTAATAAATTAAACTAATTTCCCCAAGTAGTGTCTGTTTTGCCTGTGATGGTAATTGGTTGAGTGATCCCTCCCTGTCCTTATCTCGACCTGCGAGCCTTTCATTCTATTTTCTCTCCCCTGTCCAGTTGAGGAGGGGAGTGACAGCGGCTTTGGTGGGCACCTGGCATCCAGCCAGGGTCAACCCATCACAAACAGTTATTATATATGCTGTTCCCACTTTAAATACTAGCTTCAAATGTCTTTTTTACTAGGCTCTGCAGAGTACTGCTAGCTACAAGCCCATGGGGGAGGTGACTGGCTTCCTAGTACCCAGAGAAGTTTATCAGAGCTCTACTGGATACCTGCTGCTGTTCTCCTCAAGCTCAGAAAGACCCCAGGGATAAACTCAAAATATAGTGGCCACCTTAAAGAAACCAAGAAATTGCCCCTGAGAGGAGGGGAGATAAGTTCACTGAGGCACAGCAGTGCATTATATTGCATGCAACTATAAGTAGCAGAAAAGGAGGAAGGTCTGGGACCAGAAGCTTGGGACACTGCAGCTTGCTTTTAAGACAAACATCATAATTCACGTTAAACTTCAAGACTCTGGGGAGGAGCGCAGTAGAGCAGAGCTCCGTGGATTTTAGCACCAGCAGCAGGGAGAGGTACGAGCTCTGCTACTGCCACGTCCAGAGCTTTGCTCAATGGCCGCAGGAACTGCCGCTCAGAGGCACCAAGGGCGAGCACCCACGCACCGAAACCCAGGGAGATCTTGATACCGACCTGCAGCAGTCAGTAGGAGTAACGCTGCGGCAATCACAAGGATTTGAGATTCACCGAGTTGTTTTACACAGCACACACAGGAATTGTTGTGGCCTTCAAAAGAAAACACAGTTAACACTTTAAATTTTTCCTAAATGAAGTGATGGAAAAAAAGCAATGGAAAATCCCACTGCAGTTATACCCATGTACGGGGAGCCCTGCATGAAGGGAGAGAAAAGGCTGGATCAAAACCAGAGAAATCCAGAGGTCAGATGCTCTTATTGGGGATTACTGCCCTAAATTTGCCATCTGCAGCCCCTGGAGCTCTAGCTCTGTCTAGGCTTTAAGCAGCCATGGCTCTCCTCGTGGCCTTCTGAAGCCAGTCCCATCCAGCACCAAATGCTTGCTCCACTTCTGCCAGCATCAGCCCGTGGTTCCAGTACATTTCTGGAAAGAACAAAATTTTCAGGAGGGTTTGCAGAGGAATTTTCACCACTTTGGTGCTGCGTAACCTTAAACAAGCCATTTTGTTTCCCTTTGCTTCATTGCCCCTTCCTCCTTCCTGATTTTTTCTGTAGAATCTGGAAAGCACTTTGCTATTTCATGATGCTGTGGGGTGTTTTGCCTATTTTGCGTCAGTACAATATTTTGATTATATGGTATTTTACATAAGAAAGGGCTAAGGACCACTTTCTCCTCACCCGAGGAGTGGGGAACGCAGGAGGTGGCCGTCCCCGGGGGAATACACCCAGGGCTGCCAGCACCCGCTCCCACCTCATCTTCTGTATGCCGGACACCACAATTCAGTTCTTAATTTGCAGCTCAGTGAATCCTGGTAGAGAAAATACTAAGCACACGTAGTCAGAGGGGGAAACCCAACATCCCACCTTGCCACTCACAGGGATGCTGTGCAGACTGCAGGAGGACGGACGAGGGAACCGTGAAGAAACCCGGTGGCAGCGGACCGCCGCTCTGCGCTTGGGGCTAAAACAGCGTTGGTAACGCGCCGGGGCTGGGGCTGTTTCCAAATCGTACTCGCACAGCACCAAGGCTGTCCCGGTTTCCCACTCCGTCCCCCAGCGAGGAGGCTGGAGGTGGGCAAGAGGTCGGGAGGGGACACAGCTGGGACAGCTGACCCCAGCTGACCCAAGGCGTGCCCCATACCATATGGCATTATGCTCAGCAATAAAATTGGGGCCCTCGACTCATTTCGGTGTTAGTGGTTCAGAGTTAGAGGTAGGAGACAGTGCAGGTCAGGTCTCTAATTTCAACTAGATCTCGTTCCTGTAAAACACTCTCGATTGCTTGCGCTCTGGTGCCCTTTGGTTAAGAGGCACAACGAAGAGGTTACAGCAAGACTGACAATGCCGTGCAGGTATGTTTGGTTCAGCACAGATGATAGAGTCACAAAACTTCCTACTCTGCCACCTGCCCACCCCAGCGGCCGCCCCGTCCCCCTCCTCCCTCAGGGTACAAGTATGCTCATCACACAGTTCACCATTTACAAATGTTGCTTCTGTTTCTCTCCAAAGCTCCTTCAAAAAACCAGCAATGAACCATCAGGTCTTTGACTTCAAGAGACCCAGGGTTTCTGCTATAATGCTCAAATTGCAGATTCTTGTTTCTATTGTCTTCTAAATCACAGGTTCTCACACTGCTCAGCATTACAGTCAACAGCTGTCTTCTGATACCCACTGCAGCAATAGGAACTATTGCGTTTCTGTCCTCTCATCTGCTCTCCTGGAGTAGAGAACATCTTTACTAGTGTATTTTTGCAAGCATATGTTGCTCCTTATCCTGAAGAGGCAGCCAGAAGGAAGGGCCTGGCTCTTGGGAAGGGATTGCAGCAATCCTTTCCTGCTGAAACCCAGCTCACACCATCCACATAGGTTATTTCAAACTTCAGCTGCCACCGCTTCTGTGACCAGCTTCCCATGTAGCAGGAGGTCTCTTAAATTTGCTGCAAAACCACATCAGCACACTGAATATAATTGACTAAAAATATTAAACAAAATGACTGCAAACAAAAGATTAGGTCATTTTTCCATTCAGCTTGTACAAGCTGCATGATGTTTATTTCACAGAGGTCAAGTTGCTTTTGCAGGACCAAAGGAGTACGAAGCTCTTGTACAAAGGTCTTGCTGCACCATTCCCAGAAAGGCAAACTGCTTGCACAGCTCTGTGCACACGCAAAAGCAGACACGTTTTGAAAGTTTAGACCGTGGTAAAAAGCATAGCTATAATAATCCAGAAATAAGGACACTTGTACTCAAGTCCTTTCTGACTCTCAAGAGAACACTGGGCATCAGAGTATCATTTATTGCACTGAGACCTCTGGAAATCACAAACGGGATCTTCTAGGTGAAAACTGAGCGGAAGGCATGGAGCAAATTACTGAGGTTGAACTGGGGCCAGAACATGAGCAATCACAGGAAGCGCCATGACTGACGCATTACTGAGGTCTTTGGGCAAGGAATCAACCACATTTCACCTCAAGTGCTTGGTGCTTCTTCCCTCCCTTTGCTCACGTGGCTGTTGGAAAGGTCATTATTTCCATGAAAGCACTTCACGGCTGCAGGACCAAAAAACCTGAATTCATAGCCCAAGGGAGTTTCTCATGCTCTCTAAGTCAGCCGGAGCTTGAGGCTCAGGGATTGCTTCTCCACCTCGGAGTGGGTGCAGATACCGCAAAGCCACCTCTAAACTATATTCAGAACCAGTGGCAAAGCTTGCCTTTCCCTGCAGCAGCTCCACTTTGCCGCCTGCGAGAACCTTCACCGTGCCACGCCGTCAAGAACAGGCTGGAACACATACCTTAACTCTTCATCTGGGGAATGAAACTGCTGAGATACCGCAGCCACGGACACCTCAACAAACAAGCAGCAGCTTCGTGTTTGATCTGTCCCGTCCTTTCTGAGAACACACATACAAGAACTCAGGAGGGAAACTTCCAGGCACAGCTTTTGGGCATCCTGACAAAATTTGCTCTCGCTTACAGGACAGTCGCCACCTACTAGGCCAGAAGGGTGATTTAATGTCCACTGAAAGGGAAAAAGGACATGTGTTGATGCAGTACGAGCAGAAGAGCATTCTAGCTTTTTTTAGGGGTCTTCTAAGCATAGCAGCTGATGCTAAGCCATCAGACAGATGCTACCATGACAATGACAAGGACTTCTCTCCGTTGCAGGACGGGTAGACTGGTTGCCATTAGTCCTGAGAAATTTCACTGTGAACAAAGTGAGTCTGGATAAGATGAGCTATACTTGCGAGGTACGCAACTCTTCCTTTTTTGAATCTGAAAATGTGGGTTCAAGCCATGCAAGTGACCAACACATACTGCAAATTTTATTTTTATTTCCTTCTCACAGAAACTAAATTGGCATATGCCTACATCTTGATTAAAACAAATTCACCACTGCAGAAAAAAAAAGCATTCTTTTTATTCTCTAAAGCACACCTGTGAACACAGAACAAAGTCTAATGTCAGTACATGAAAGCTTTTTCTTAGTGCACCTCTTCATTGCAGCTTCTCCATTAGTTCTTTTTAAAAAAATCATTACATCTTAGGTATTTATATATGCTTGCATGAAGCTTTGCATAATCTACCCATAATGCAATTCACTTCTAGAAGTCAGTTAAGAAGCTAAATCAAAAAGGCCCCTTAAGTTTGCTTTATTTACAGTTGAAATGGCTAGATTTTAAATACTTTACAGTCGCTCCCAGCACTGGCTCCCAATTCAAAGGATTAGTGCATTCCATGATTTCTTTATAATTATTTTCTAGAGGGGATTAGGCTGCCCATACCTACAGCTATGTAGGTACTTCAGCTATCTACATAAAATACCTTATGGAAATAAACATGCTGCCAAAAATATTTATAATAAAAAATGACAAATGAGAAACTCAGCCTTTAGGAAGAATAGACAGGTCCTCGATTTTGTGCTGCAGTCATTGTCAACTGTGGGAAGAGCAGCAACGTGGGAGAAACAGCAGTTAAGGAGTGCCACGGTCCCAACCAATTCTCTCTGGTCCTTCGTAAAGACAGCTTTATGTTCAGCTCTCAAACCCTCCTCTCTTTCACCACCTCTCCCCCATTACTGCTTTTCTGTTAAATCACTGATCAAGTTTCTGAACCGCAATAGCATACAAATTTATTGCAGAGGCGAAAAAATAATGATGCATCTGGGAGAAGATGCATCTTAATCCTTTTTTTTTTTTTTTTTGCAGGAAATGCAGCTTACATATGAATACGGCAGCTCTTTCCTAAGGCTAAAGTTATCAGGAGACAGGCAAGTTATCTGAATAAAGACAGATCTGTTCCTCTAAGTTTTACAGTTTATGAGTGGATGCAGGTCTTGTGGAAACTGAGAAACTGCTGTAAAGATTAACAAATAGGATGCACATGCATTTGTCTGTTCATATATACTTTCAAAACCCAAATGGGAGGAAGAAGTATCTGTGGTTCAGGTAGGTCCAGAAGATTTTTTTTTTTTTCTTATACAATAAGGTAGATTACTTAGCACATTCCAGGTTAAAAAAATTACAGCAACATTCAGTAACTGGAATGCATATAATATACAAGTACCATTACATTTACAAAGCTGTTCAGGACGATTTTTCTTTCTAGAATAAGCATAAAAAAGTTACAAGCTAATTCACAATAACTTTAGATACAATGTTATTAAAATACATTGATGTTAATCATAAAAATATTTTACTATTTACATGTACATTGTATAAACCTTAACAATAAGAATATGCCCATTTGAGGATGCCTTAAATGAATATTTAGGCAGATTGGCCCATTTTATAGTGCAGTATCCCTGTTTTGGTCTTCACACCATGAAACTGTACCAGATTCACAGTATCTTTGCTAGTGCTTTGCTAAAAGGCTTTGACTTTCTACTATTTAAGAAACATTCATTCATTCATTCCAAAGAGCCAGTTTTGTTTCCACTTTGTTTCTTGTTAAATCCTACCCCCAACAGTTCAGGACACTCTGCCTGGCCTTGTGCGATTTGGTTGCATTTCCAAATAAGGCTATAATTCATTTCATCAGTTATCACGCTATCTTGCTTGTAGTCTGGATGCTGTGCGATAAATTCCCTCATCCACCGAGCAACTGTCATTAATTCTCCTGTGGGCAAGAGGAAGCCAAATTGCACAGTTTATACATCTAATTTAGCAGTACAACACCTAAAGTTCTATGTGTTATATTGACAATTAATGAATAGTCCATGCTTTCACAAGAAACACACTCCTATACATATTTTTTTTAAATATGGCTAATCTGCAGGCATAATTAAGCTGACATAGCACTGATAGTTTAAAAACCACTTGTCTGATGCGATCTTCAAACTTTCAGATGTTGTAATGAGACAGTGCAGAGAGAAGTAGCTATTGGAACAGGTGTTACCAACAGATTGTATAGCAAGAGGCCTTAAAAACGTCATTTAACAGACAATCTGGCTGAGACAAACCAACAGACACCTCTACGACTACTACGTATATATAAAATAATTTTGTACTTGATCCATCCAACTTGGCTGCTAGCTTTGCTCTGTCTACCTTGACTTAATCTTCTTTCTCCCTCTGGCAGCTCTCCAGCAAAGAAATAGGGAGGTTCCCAATTATGTCAACTCCTAGTTTGTACATACTGCTTCTGCTTCAGTATGCAGTCCACGGGGCGGTCAGCAGGTGCCTAAGGGTCCCCAATGCTTCTATACAGGGTCATCAAATGGCACACACCACTTGCAGGAGACCTGCATCCCTACAGAGTAGCAGCTAGAGGCCAGGTGGACACCAGCGTTTAGGCTACTGAATCTTGCAGCATATGCAAGCAACCCTTAACTCGTGCAAATTTAAGGTAACCCTGACAGTAAGACATTAAGGTAGGCTGATGGGATACTCAAAGAGCCTAGCAAAACTTTCATTGCTAGCTACTGGAACCTCAGCTTCCTTGTAAGAGTAGAAAGAGTCAAGGGCTTCCACTAGAGAAATCTTTAGTTTAAGAATATTATAAAAAGCAAGAGGAATCCAGTTAGGGAAAGCAAGAAGGAACACACAAATAAAAAGTAAAAAGCATCTAAGGCTCTTTAAAGATATCCTATCAGTGGTTCTGAACAGAGATACACAAACACAAATCAGAAAAATTGCAAAAAGTACAGGAAAGAAAAGCAGAATAAAAAAGGTTATTGAAAATAAAAATGTCCCTCAAAAACCAGAAGTCATGTTTTAAAGAAATGAGGCCAGAGTTTACACTTCTATATAAAAAGAGGGCAGAAAAAAACCCACCCAAGAAGCATTATTTGTTGAAGGCACTAATAACTCACACAAAAACTTTCTCAAACCAACGACAAACAGAGGGCCTGCAAGAAAATCAGTGGGGCCGGGAGATAAGCAGAGCATAGAGAGACTCCCATTTTTGGATTAAAAGCCGCTGCAGGCTGTCAGTGGAGGAGAAGATGGGAGAGCAGCCCAGCTCACACCAACACAGACATCTAGTGGTCAGGCAGCCCAATCACTCCCCATCCTTCGTACCAGTGAACATCTGCAGCACCTTCATCGTGAACACAGCGCGCAGCTCTCAAAGAACATACCCGAGTATTGGGAAAAGGCACCAGACTGACAAAAGGTGTGAGAATTTCCAAGTGAGGAGAGACAAGACAAAGGGAATCGCAAGTTCAGAAGCAACAATATACTTGCGAAGTTTGCAAAATTATGAATGTTGATGAGAAGTGAGTAGAGAAATGCTATCCTACAATGCAGGAACTAGAAGGCATACAATGAAATAACTGGGAAGAGCACTTAAACGTGCAAAACTACAGGATTTTCACTTTTCAAAGAGCACTTCATAAAATTGTGGCATTTCTTATTGTATGACTTTATGGGGAGCAAAAGTGTAAATGCTTTGAGAAGGGTAAGGCAACGATCACGGAAATCATGTTTGGGAATGGTCATGAAGCCCCACGCTTCCTGCACCACCTTCGGCTGAGAAAATGTCTACACTTGCAGACAGCCAAGAAGCGGGAGAGCACGCCAGGACAACGGTCACTTGATACTGCTTACCTTAACACCACTTTCATTAATATTTGGTGGTGGTCATCAGCTGCTGCCTGCCTAGCAAATCTGTGTCTCACTGAGTGGTCCCAGTCACACACCAGCTAGACAGAGACCAGCGAGGGCAATACCTAAGCTGTGCTGCAAGAGAAAAGGAGACTGAAGCACAGATTAACTATGCTGGGGCAAGGTTAAAGCCACAGCAGCTAAGATGCCTGTGGTTAACTGAGTGCTCTGTGTTCACCGTTTGAGGAGAGAAATCTGAAAAATGGCCACTCTTTGTGGACATGTCCATGCCCGACAGGATGCAGTTCAGGAACATTTGATTTAAGATTGAGAGTAAACTGGAATAATCCAAAGCTCACAATTGAGTAACATCATGGCACAGTAATACAAGACCTAATGCTTTTTATTCTGTGAATTCTGGTTCTTATAGAGCATCATTTAAAAATCATTTCAAGTTCATCAGAGTTAAGATATAAACCCTAGACTCTCACACCTTTTAGGTCCATGTAAATACACAAGCTGACTTTTGCAATGCCTGTGACTTTGCACCAGGTAGCAAAGTTGTTCTTTGGAAGGGGAACACCTGCTGCAGGGGGTCGAGCCCTCGTCATTAGCTCTTGGGAAAAACCCTCTATGAGATTTATGCATTCCTTGTTTTTTCAACAGCATTTTTCTGAAGGGAAAAAACCAACAACAATAGAATATTTTGAAAGCATTGCTATTTTTAGGCCTGATGTGCCTCAGTTGTTTTCTTCCTGCCAGTTTCTCTTCTCTCCCTCAGTTAAGCCAAGCATAAAATCCCCTGTCTATGTCACCCGAGGGACAGAAGCCTCCTACAAACAAGCAGTCTTAGAAAAGAACATTTACAGTGAAAGCTCTAATTAATTAAAACTTGTTACCAGTCTAAAGTACTACTAAAGTATTGAATTACCAGGTGAGAGAAAGTCCTGATTTCCACCTCAGCTTTAAAAAGGTCTTTACCTAGAAGCTTCTACAGCAATTTTCAAGAAATAAAAAGGAATGCAACACTTTAATTTAAAACCAGTGAATATATTTCACTGGGGGGGGAAGTCTTGACTTACGAGACTAAAATTAACTGTCTAGCTAAATTTACAGCAAGGCAGGCATACAGGGGATGTGCACATAAAAAGGCTGCAGACTGTGCTACACGCCAAGTTCTGAATTAAAGTTTAGCCTGCATCTTTTACTCATTGTACTGCTGCATTTTAAAAAAGGAGCATAAAGAGTCATTATACTGCCTGTCTTCACAAACACCGCAACATGGGGAAGACAGGGAAAGAGCCTGGATCGCTCTGCTTGAAGGAGTTTTGCTACTTACAGAAGGGCTTTCTTATCAGGGAGCTAAAGACTAGGTCCCACGCTCTAGTATACCAGAATTTAGACTTACGAATGCTTTGGAGCAGACATGGTTTAGTCACACCAATAATACCAGGCTACCAGACCCAGCCTCACATACTGTTACAACACTTAAGTGACAGGCAAAGGGGATTATAGTATATGTGCAAACTACTACAGTGGACAATACACTGGCAAAAGCAGCAGTAAGTGGTGCTGAAAAGAGAAATCTTGGACTGGAGACACACTACCCTCTAAGCTGTAACTGTAACTGTATGAATTACTTCTAATTTAAGTTCTAAAATGGATCACGAAACATTTATAATCAGAATTAGACTGGACCAGATTTAAGCCAGAGAACACACTCAAGTCCTTTGCTCCTATGATTCGACACTTAATCAGGCAGCCACAGCTGCCACCAGCTTTACCCAACTGAAAACTAGAGGACAGCCCAATTACTGTCTAAGGAGAAAAATGCCAGGAAAAAAAAAAAAATCTACGTCCAAAAGTGTCAAACATACCAGATGCTCTCTTTTTTATTAGCTTCAGGTAGTTTAGGATGGTGCACCTTGTGTCCACATCCACTTCCATGTTTTCAAGATAGGAATTCAAAATTGGGATCAAACCAGGAAAGACTCCTTCCTGTGTAAGAGAAGAGAGTCAGCATAAAACATGCTCGATCTGATTTCTGGGAGGGCGGAATGGAGGGGAAGGTTGTGTGTTCCAGGTAGAAGAGGCTACGACCTTCCCATTGATAATTGTATCAATACTCATTAAGGTGTACTCTTCCGCGTCGGTGCCTGTCCCATTCTGTGCAGAGCCACATCCATCCACAACAGTGTTTCCACCTTCATGGGTGAGAAAGGGAAAGGAAGAAACGATTAGAACGCAAGAGATGCGCTAAACATCCCCAACAGCATTAATCAGATTGCTTGTTATGATACCTTTGCAAATATCTTTTCTGAAGTAAAACATTCCCTGCCGGACAGCATCTCTTTTCTGGGCCATCTTCATGTTTTCATCCACCTGGCAAAAGTAGTATTTCAGAGATTTGTGACATTTTAGAAAATTAAGATTTTCCCAAACCCTCACATTTTGGTCTCATTAGTTGAAACTATGTTTCTTACGATTTTCGTCACACAGGGCCAAGCTGTGGAGGTAAGTTTTATTTCATTCTTCAGGGGTCCTGGGCAAAACCACAAAGAGATGACGTTCTGCGAAATTAGGTCTCCGGCAGAAAAGGCAATAGTATTACATTAGAACATGCTACGCTAATCTTTTACATTTGGATGAAAACACAGGAACAGCTGTAATTAACAGGTTGCATCCCATCTGGCAGACTTCTTTGCATATTTAGATGCAATTTACATGAGTATAGAAGAAGAAAATTGCTGTTTCCCTAGCCATAGTTTGCTGCTTTTCCTAACAAAATCACTGAAGTCTTTAGCAGAGCTATCACTGTATTAAACAAACTTTCAGAAACAGAATTCCAGTAACTTTGTATGGGAATTGTATCTATTCCACACCCAATCATCTGTTAGATAGATAAACTTAGACTGCTAGTAAAGAAGTTCTAAATCCCAGACTTCTCAAGAAATCTACAAACTACGAAGCACTGCTCATATGCTCTGCAAATGACAGAAGCGTTGCTCTGTCTTTCTGGACAGAAGATTTTGTCCAAGTTCTTTAGTTGGTATGTTCTCAGGGAATTAACATCACACAGCTTTCGGACATTAGGTTTACTGTATTGTCTTCAGAAGAAGGGATGATTTGCTGAATTCTTTGTCTGACCTTTAATTAAGGGCAATGCAAAAATCTTTACATCTTACCTTTCAAAGCTTTGTTTTCAAAAGTGTGGTTTTGTTCATTATTTCATATTATGAAACCTATTTACAAAACAGGCTGTTTTGAAAGTTTGAAAGAACTCCAGCCCTAGTTAACAGAGTACAACCGCACTCCATCAGACAGCAAAGATCAGCGTGAGATTAGCCCCATAAACCCGTATTATTTTACTTGAAAGAGGCAGGCTTACCGGTGGCTGTGCAATTCTGTGTTGCATTACTTGCCAAATTGCTTGGCAAGCTCAAGCAATTTTATGCCCCCCCCAGCCACTCAACTCTGTTCAGGTTCTTTCAGCACCTGATCTCTTTTTCAATTTTAACTGGTATTCATTAGCTAAAAATTTTGTGCTTTTGAGACATTCCAAATAACAATGTAATTATGCACTGTAAGTGCTAAATTGCTGCATTATTTATGAAGTCTGAACTCCCTGACATCAGGAAGAGAATCTCTCCTTTTAAAAATCATCCCAACTGTATGGTATGATTACTGTTAATTTACAACTTCAGTATTCTTCTCCATTTTAATTAAAAACACTAAGAAATGCCTCAGGATACTTCTGCTATACTGTAGCCAGCACTGGCAGTATTTTCTAGGATATAGTCTGTCAAAAGCCTTCCGCACTTCAAGACCTTTTTTAAAGTTACCAGTAACATTGCAGGAATATCTATTTAAAAAGACATTTTCTCGTCAGGTGCCTCAGAAAGATGTGCAAGGACAGTTTCACCCAAAACAGTTCAACAATTGTGAGGACAAGATTAAGGAAAAAGCACATTTTGCATGGCTGGTCTGTCCAAACACAAGTCAGAGTTGTGACCAGAATCAGCAGTATTCATTTTCACTCAAATACTGTGTAACACTAAGCATGCTGAATTCCTCCTTTCCCTCTCCGCCAGATATTCTCTATTTTGTTCATAAGAACAAAAGACATAGGCAACAGCCACATAAAAATAAATATCTAAAGGTTTTATTTTGACCTCCACAGGTTATTTTCCCCACATGTAAAATGGTGGAAACATGTCCTTTCTCACTCTCAAAACAGTCTTGCGACAATGGTATTTCTCAACATTTCTGCAGTAGTCAGACACTGTGAGGCACCACAGAAATTCCCACAGTATTTGTCTATAAGCTTAATTCCATGAGACAGAAGTAAAATATTTGTTTAACACTGTGGAGTTGAAATTGATTCAAAGTACTGGTACAGATGAAAACTGACTGAAAGATAAAAATGCCTGTTCCCTAAGTGCACCTATATTAGTTCCTAGCTTGGAGAGGATAAAAATCAGACTTGATGCAAATACTTTGCATTTAGCTCTAATAGATCTGACCTTTCACACCTACCTTGGACAAAGGAATGAGAAAATCCAGTTTATATGACAGAATCACTCTGGTTAGCAGTACCACGAACACAACATATGCAGAGTTTTCAAAGTCTGTTAACTGGACCTAGACACGAAAAGGTTTACAGATTAAATTACTTCAGTGGGAACTCACTCATGGAAGTAGATAAATATCTAGGAGAGTTGACTCCAACGTTCATGTCGGTACTTGTATTCACAGACACTCTGCTGGCAGAGATGGCGACGCATGAGCTGGAATCATCAGCAGTGACTTCAAATGCACAATGCATGCACACACTTCAAACTCAACCCTTTAATCCAATGCCAAAACACACTTGTGTTTAAAAAGATTATCTAATAACCTGCACCTTCAGGCTCTCTGTGTAATTACAAATGTGTAAGAGCTTTTAAATTTCTACTTTAAAGGGATTAAATTCAGAGAGCTCAGATGGACAGCTATAAAATAAAAGCACTTGTGAAAAAACAAAACAATGACAGTGGAGTTGTTCAGTACCAGGAAAATTACTGGAGAAATACAGTCCCGAGAAGCTAAATGGGGCTTTGTTTACTGTTGCTTTAATACAAGCCTAATTCCTTTCCCCATCACCCAAATCCATTAGCATGCTTTGCTGTGCTGCAGTGGATTCTCCTGTCAGTTATATTCCCACAGTCCACGTCTGATTAAACACTGCTGTCCACTTCACTTGCGTCTACTGATTCAGAGGGGAGAAAACACAGCATAAGAATTAAGGGTTTGGTACTGGATGGCAGAATGCCTGGTACTCTTCCACCTAAAAGGAAATGTGCTCTTGTGCATATTGACACCTTCCTTACCTCCATAGGTCTGAATTCCACTCTCCATCCAATATCTGAATTTGGAGGTGGTGGCTTAAACCTCATTGTCTGCCAGTTTGTAGACTGAATATTCTGCAAAGCACATGAAAAATCTGTCACAATCAAGATATGCACCATTTTATAATAGAAACAAAGAAAAATAAGCAGATAACTAGAGTCCTAATATTTTCCCTGTAACAGCCCATCAAGTTAAAGAAGTGCTTCCCAACTAAGTGGCACGACTTTCTGAAAACAACAGTATAACCACCCATCCTAGGAGCAAATGTGTTACGCTTTCTCATGCTGTTTTGTTTGAAGATTACGTATAAGATTGTAGAGGGCTGAGATTTAGCTGACTTATTTTTTTATGAGGGGTTGATGCATCCCAAACAAAAAATACCTAATAATACCATAGCTATTATTTCATAAAGCTGTGTAAGAGAGACATTCATACGTAAGTGTCATGCAAAACAGTTTTTAGGAAGCCATAAAAATAGACAGTTCCCCATAACACATATACATAGCCATAGTTTGGGCCTTTCATATCTTAATGGGTTTAAAGTATAAGCCACCACCTTCTCCTAAATATATGATAAAAAGAAATAAATGTACTTATAATTGCAAAGTCATATGCTAAAGAACTAGTTGAAGTGAAAAATTCAGAAAAAATTCTTAGCTAATATAGTCATCCTCCAATTAAGCAGTACTATAAAGAATAAGCAGTTTAATGTATATATTTATTAAATTCCTCTAAATCAGACAACAACCTCAAAATGGTCGGATTCATTTGCATCATCTAGATGTATTTTCTCCTCAAACAAAGTCAATGGGTCTCGAATGAACAAGTGTGCAATATGCTGTGCCAAAAGGTGGTCAATACCTACAAAATGAAAATTCAAACAATTCACACAGAGCAAAGCAGGCTCTAGGAAACGATTTGTTTTACAAGACTGAAAATATCCAACTCTGCAATGCTACCTCAACCCACCACATCCTGTTAAAGTTTAAATGATGACTTCAGGAAGGAAGGAAATGATTAAAGAGGAAAAAAAAACCCAAAACCAAAACAACCAAGCTCTTGTTTGGAAATGGCAGCTGAATATTGGTGTGGCTGCTATTCTTCCTGTTTTGTGATGCACCTCTGTGCCACGTGTCCTAAAGCAGTTCTGCTCTCTCCACAAAGATAAAACATTAATGCATTAAACACCGAGCTTCTCAAGCTAGAATTAGGGACAGTTTCTTGAGTACTTTTTAAAAAACTCTCAGGACCATGCTACACAGATATTTCCTGAGGAGTCACCACTCTCAGGGATGCACGATGATTGAAACAAACAAGAACGAAAACGTAAAATATCCCCACACACTGCAAGCATAATTCTTAACCTGCTCATAATGAAGCAAACACTTACCTTCCTTTATTAGGTGCTCGTAGATATCTTTGTCTATTGTCAAATCAATGTCATTGTATTTCTCACCACATTCAGATAGATAACTGTCTATGGAATCATATCTGGATTTACTGATTCTATAATGGTTGTTCTTCAGTGGCTATATAATTTAAGAATACAATATTTTAACAGCTTGTTAACAATGTTACCTAAGTTTTGCTCACTAATGACACTTATGTGAGAATTATTATCCTGTTTAAAAAACCCTATAACCTCAATTAAAATTATTCAAAGCACGAGTCTTAAATAGGCTTAACGGAAAGCGATCCTGGAATTATGACTATTTTGTTTGCAGATGTATGTATCTGAGCGAAAAAACAGACATCGCACATTGACTAGAATTCTCTAAAAGTGGAAACATTTTCCTGATGTAATATACCATTACCCCAAGTACCTGGAAAGCATTATTATACCTACTGCAACACATACCAATACAGTTTCACTACGCACACATTGTTAAGAGATGCTCTTAAAATGGGTAGTTCCAGAAATATTTCAAGTAGATTTTTTTAAATTTTTTTTTTATTTCTACAATTTTGTAAGTGCCTTGAATGCCAATCGCTGCTTAGAGAAACTCCTTAAATTCAAGTTCTGACAATTGGCTCTTCTCGCATAGTTCTAGTTTATACTACTGGATTCCTCAGCAGCACCTGCTATTCAATCCAAAGCAATTTTTGCTTTTTGGGCTCAAGCACAGACTGGAAAGTTTCATCACAGGAGGACCTTTTCAGCAAGCTGTGAAGGAGTGAGCAGAGTTCTACTGGGATTCTATACCTAACTGAAAATACGTATTTGCTAACATAAACTGTACCAAGGCGCATGTTTACACCACCTCTCCCGTATTTACCACAAAGACTGCCATGTTCCCTCGTTAGGGATTCTGATGAGCACAAGCAGAATTTGATGCTAAAGGAGATTTAACTTTTTTGCCTGAAAAAGCCCAGACATCTACTACCCAACATTACTTACCTCTAGCCCCCTCTCTTCTCGCGTTCGATCATCTACAGATGCAGAGATCACTCCCCAACGACAGTCAATATCAGACACGTAGCCTCTGTAGAACGGAGATGCAGCGCTCAATGCCATCTAAAATAAAACAGCCTGATATGAAAACAAAGGACAAGCCAAGGAACCAAAAGCAAAACCACAGCCTCACCGGAAAGGGAAACTTGCTGGTCCTCAAGTAACTGAAGTATATACTTCAGTTTAACATACAGCCAAAGCCCATACAACCACAAATCTCTCAACTGCTATCTCCAGAAAACACCTCGATGAAGGGTTAGTATTACTGAAGGGGCATCCGACACTCTCCAAATTCATTACCTCTACAGATCAGCATTTAAGGAACACCAAGATGATACAGGCAGAGGCAATTCTGTGACAAACCAGCAAGTATTCTGCACACACACTTCCAAACTCCAGACGTTCACCTGGCAATCATTTTATTTTGTTTATTTTTGTTTGGCCAAGCACCTTGGCAACACAGCCGGAACATACCTCGCTCAGAGCAGGATCTGCTCGCCACCTAGACCAGACCAATACTTTCTAACACCTGTTATAAACACCTGTTTGTGACCACATGCTTACAAAAGGGACAGCTTTAAACAACTTAAGCTGAAACCCTCTGTAACACCAGACCAGAGTTGAAAAATTAAAAGTTGTTTTAAGGAGTGAACTTGTCTTGTTTTCATGAAAAACTGCCCCAAATGTATTTCTAGAACTATTCAACAAGAGCCTCATGCATGCGGGAAGGAGGGCAGAGGAGAAGAAACAGACAACATCTGTTTTGTGTTGTCATTTGGATATTAAATAAATCACACTGCTCACGTGACAACCTAGCAAGAGACTAACGCTGCTCCCAGAGTACCAAATTTGTGAGTAGCGTTTGAGTTTTTTTAAATTTAGATTTTATTTTTTTACATGTAGTGGCTTTTGCACAACGAAGAGCTGATGTGATAGAAGTTCATTACTTACCACAATGGGACAGATCGTGGCTAGCTGATCATAGAGATACCTCGCTTCGGAAATGCTGCAAGCCTGGAATGTTACCTGTTGGAAGTACAACTGCTATCACAATTTCTATAATCATAGCGCAAGCACAGTCTTCCTAGATTTAGAATCAATGATATAATAAAGTGATTTAGATACCAAGAATTTTATGGGGTTTTTTTGTTTGTTTGGGTGGGGTTTTTCTGTGGGTTCTCCCCTCCCCCCAATTCTTGGACAAACTTTTGCCCCACCTATCAGCTGCATTTATATCACAAGCTTTTTTCTATGCCATGTCCATGTTCATTAAAAGATTTCAGACCACAACACTTTGGCTGTGAGGCTAAATACACAAACACTTGCCAGAACCAAAGAAAACAGAGTTAACATCTACAATACATATGGGTCAGTAATGCACCTTCAGGAAATAAGCCAGGAACCTACCTACTTAGAATGACAGTCAGAAACTATTGTAGATGTAAAATATGTTTTGTGTGACAGCTAATCCCATTTTAAAGAACATTTCAAGATGCCTTTGATCCTGTGAAACTGTGAAAAATAAGTATTTTCATGTCTAGTGTAACTTTTATTTAAAAAATGTCCAATTTTGCCTGTATTAGAGGCCAGGACACAGCAAAAGATGGAAAAGAAATATTATTTGCAGAAGCCATTAATGATGTAGAAGCCCTACCACACATAGGCCACTAGAAAATAAAACTTCTTTGAAACTTCTGGTGAAATTTGCTCAGCACAGCATCAAACATGAGACACTTTTCTAGTTGCAGACCTTACCCTCCCAAACCGAGACTTTATGCATTTTAAAAATGCGGAGGGGGATCAATCACCTCAAAACTGTTAAAAGATGCAAATAGATTAAAAGCCTCTCTCTCTTTTTCAGTTTACATATTCATAGATGAGAGGATAACTTAGATGGGAGCATACCCCTGTACCACTATCATAACATCGTACAACAGGCTTCAGCATTATATCACCCTCACTGCTTGATGTCCTGAAGAATGCCAGCCAAACACAGATTTTCCTCTTCCACAGATTACAATTAGAGAGTCCCACAAAACATACAGGTTCTCCTCCGCTGGCGACTGAAGCCCAATCCAACCCCAAGTAAGCCTCAAAAAAAACCAACCAACCAAAAAAGACCCCCAAAACTCCAGAGGTCACTGGTGGGCTCAGTGGGGGATTTTTTGGGGGGAAATGGGGGAGGTGGGATTGAAGGGGAGGTGTAGGAGGAATATGGGATGTGTTTATTTTGTTTGTCTTTTTAAATCTGCAGCCAACATTCACTAAAACATCCCAAGTTAGAAAAAAGCATGTGTGGTAGGGAAAATACTTCTTCTGTGTCTATCCTTCAAGTGGCTATCAAAAAAAAAAAACCAAACCCAAACCAAAACACACTTTGAAAAGACAAGATTATTTAATTCTCTTGCAGAGAAGCAGCTAAGTATGATTTCTCATCACTAATTTTGGACTTCCAGCACTAGGGAGCCTGCCTTGGCCAGGCGGACAGGACACCTACACTCTTTCCCCAACACAGCGATATCTGCCTCCTCTTCCCTTTTATGCTTATCCCAAATCAACATTAAATCCAGGATACAACCCGGTTTCTAGCCAAACGCCCCATTACAGAGGAGAAGGGCATGGCAGTCTTCTCCAGAGGAGGGCTGCAAGCACTGCAAGGACTGCGGAAAGCAGCAGCTACGAGCACAAAGCTCAGCAGGCACAGGGACGTGAAGCCTCAAAATGGTTTTGGATGCGATGGTTTGCCTTTCTGTTCGCAGGGGAAGCACCTCCCACCCCACCATTGCTGCGGGCTGTCCCACTGAGCTCATCAGGACATTATTTTTTACTTTGGAAATACATGAAACTAAGTTGTAGCTTGGTGCAGTGAGGAAAAAAAAAAAAAACCAACAAAGGGAAGTATGCATACTGCAAACTACCTTACAGAAAATAGGTGGGAAATACATGTTTTCTTTTAGTCAGTTATCAAGAATTATTAGCTGATACACAAGAAGCTGCTTATAGCACCTACCAGCACCTTGTTTTCATTCTCCCTTTGACGATAACAAGACTACCGAGTTTGAATTTGACCACTGATTACAAGAACGAGGAATAGTAAAATGGTACTCCATAAAAAGGAATTTAATGTACTTTTAAACAAGTTCATACAATGACTGAATGGTAAGGCTGTATTTCTTTTATTAGCCTTAAATAAGAAAGAGATGGTACAAAACAGACCACATCAAACTTAACACCTTGTAAAAAACACACAGTATTATATACATTTCACTACTTCCATCAGATCCTCCCTAGTTTACCCTTAGTGACAAGGGCTTTTGCAGTTTCTGGAAGGGAAATGCTTTGAATGGGGTCATTTCTGCCAGTGCTATGAAACAACAGCAGCTTGGAGAATTTGCTTTAATCCCCTAGAGCCTTAACACTAACCTCTTCCTAGCTCTGCTTCCAAGACGGCGGTGGCAACAGGCAGGTTTTATCAACAGTCAAATACATCACTACTACTTAAGGCATCAGCCCCTAGCATCAGGTTACTACGATAGAGAAACTTTTAAAACAAACAGATATTTAAAGGATTAAAGCACTGCCGAGATACAGCACCTGAATTTAAACAGAGGATACTGTAAGATAATAGTAACTCAGGCAAGTCAATGAAAACAATAAAAAGTGGGCATGTGTTAATGGGAGAAAACAGAACCAAAAATATCTCCCAGTACGCAGTATCAGAAGACAGCTACCCATGTGGATTTGGTAGGTTCATGGTACAAGCAGTGAGAAGACTTCTTAGCAGATAGCTAAAAACATTTAAGAATGAGAAATTTTATACAGAAGTTCATGCTGTTTGTAAATAAAGTTATACAGAAGGAGAAAGCTACTTATTTTTAAAGTTATTCCAATGACTCTTGTCACTCCTTGCTTTTGCTGTTCTAAGAATGGGGAAGAGGGAAAAAAACCCAAATGAATTACCAAAAAACCCCACGCATTCCTACAAGACAGCTCAGTTTCCATTCCCAGTGTCCTTTGGTCATGCCTGAAAGACGACCACAGTGGAAGATGATCTTTCACACTTGGAAAGTGCTGCAGTTCCAGCAGCAGGCGCTTCATCAAAATGGGTTTGACCAGTTCAAGAAACCCTTTCAGCAAGGCATCCAATCACATCTGAATACTAGCAGAAAATAAACATAATGCAAACAAACCTGGATTTTAAGGCTAGATTACCAGGTATACGATTAAATTTGTTGGTTTATTCCCCCTTTTGCCACTCTGAAAATGCATCAGTTGAATTAAGCTAGAGAAATTAGACATAAGGCAGGTCTTAAAAAGGGAAGCGTTTTGGGAAGACAACGTTCAGTAACATCTCGAAAACAGATGCATTTTACCTGAAGACAGCAGTTTCCCATTCCAAACCCCATAGCATCCATGTATATATAGTCTGGCTTAGCCGCCTTTGCTGCTTCTCCATCATCATTGGGAAACGTTTCGATAAACGGTGATGGCGTGTTCTTATCTTTAAATACTGTGTGAAAAACGCAGGTACTCAGTAACCCAGAGCATTAGATTGAATAATTATTTTGAAAAGCAAAAAGACAGATTGAATTTACTCACTTGGTACATTTATCACAACCTTCTCTCCTCTTCGGTGCCGAATGTTTCTGGTCAGTGTACTATAACAAAAAAAGTTTGCTGAAATATCTGAAAGTTTCTCTTTATGCAAATGTTTTTGCAGTTAGTTTCTCAGCAATTCTCAGGCTTTCAGAGTGTCAACTTTCTATTTATTTTAAGCATTTTCCTTCAAGACACTTCTTGTCCTAGTTTAAGATAGACTGTAACAGATACAACACTGAATTTTAATTCACTAAAGTCAGTTTTAATTTGATGGACTTCACAGTACTGTGCTAATAGAATAGGCAGAAGTAAAAGGCTACTGACCTGAAGAACAGAAGGGCAAGCAAAGAGGCATGCCTAGTTTTTAAATAGAATGATTTTCATTCTCCTAAATCTCTCCTTACAACGAAAACCCCTCTCAGACTATACAAGTAGTTTGACACCATGCTCCATTTCAGAGCAACTAGGGCAAGTTACCAAGTACACTGAGATGTTGCTGTGACATACCTGAGTGAGAGCTGAATTAACTCTAATGAAGTGGTTAGCCATGGGTTTTCAAACTGGAAACAATTTTGCAGTAGCATATGCAACACCTTTTGCCCCATAATGGTGTGAACTACTATATAAAGTTACCTGAACTTAACAGTTTACTTTAAGTCACTTTGACAGAAAATACACATCATCACAACCATATCTGTCCCAGTCCTTGTGATATCTGCACCAACTAGCCACATAGCTCTCTATTCCAACAATGTAAAGAAGTTGCAGGTATACCTATAATATTTAGGCATAGAAAAATATTCAGCTTCTCACTCACGCTCCCCAAATACCCTTACCTAAATCTAGGATGTTTATTGATGGCTTCATCTGGAAAAAAAAGTGATTTTGAAGCTCCTCCTTCTACTGGCGTTGGCTTATATTCCGGCAGCGTAAACCCAGGACACCCTAACCTATGTAACACAACAACGAGATCCAAGCTGTAATGAAAACAGACTGTGATTTTTAAAATGGTGAGATGATCAGAGACTAGGATTCCAATAGACAAAGGAGTAAAAAGAGATTTTTTAAAAACTTGCATCTACCGTGAGTATTTCTGAAGCACTTTTCAAGACTGCTACCTACGCATATGGAATTGCCAGAAGAGGTCTTAAAACAGTTGCTGTTAAAAGGTCAGCACGTGCCAACAACTAGCTTCTGGGGTGGTTAAAACATACTTTTTTTTTTTTTTAAAACCGCTACTCTATCATTGGACAGAGAAACATAATAAGCAAAGAAAAGTTACAGCTATTAGGTGTAAAATGCTGAGATATGCAAGTAAATCAGAATACAACCCTCCCCTTTGGAACCTCCATTGTAAGTTTAAGAGTCATCTGAAACAAGAATAAGTAGGTTTCCAGTACAACTGAGACAAAGGAGCATTTGAGAAGTTGGAGGTGAAGTTGCAGAAGATTAATTTCTCCATGCTGCACAGTATAAAGGACTAAGATTGTGCTATCTTGAGAGGCTCTAGCATTTGGATGTATAAAAAAGGGTTAGCTGATACAACTACAAGCAAACTACTCAAAATACCAGGAAACACTCACATTTCTGGAAATACTGTTTATGCTCAACATGTATTTCACTATTGGTTTCTTCTTCCTGATTTAAGTATACAAGGTGTCCTACAGCATGTAAACCCAACTTCATCACTTACGCAAGTGCAACATTATAAACTGCATCACTCCAGCCCTCAAGAAGGAAAACAACCTCCTGGTCCAGTACTGAGGCCTCAAATTTAAGAACTAGGGATACACATTTAGCTTCCAAGGTAGTATTTTTTAATATTTAAGCATTTTCAGGTTTGCTCATTTTTAACTGAGTTATTTTAATTTGAATAAGCCTACCACTTTGCCCTTCTTTTGTCAGCACTAACAATTTTTTTTGTCTTTTCAGATGCAGACTTTATTTTTTTTTATCATACACACATGTATATGCACAGACACACACAGGCATATGTACATGTTATTGTAGAGAGAACATAGCAAAAAACCCCAAACCCACAAAACCTCAGAAATACACATTAGCAAGATTCCAGTCAAACCAACAAGGACTTGAATGGCAAGACAGCAAAAGGCAGAAATAAGAAACTAAATAGCCCAGGGAGAGCAATCTCTGAAGGATGAAACTATGTTTGTGATGATAAGTAATAAACAAACTACATTTTATTATTTACTGGCTTTCACTGAAGTCCAATGTATTGCTCCTACAGTGATATAAAAAGTGTTTCTCTGTGTCTACAAAGTGATGAACTCCTCTCCCATTATTCCTTGCACAACTGGTTCTGAAATGTTTGTATACAAGATTTATTAAATGACATAATCTATTTGTAAGATTGCAGGGCAACCTCCCACCCCCTGTTCTGTAACACACTGAGAGCTCTTACTAAAGATATCTAGTATAGCTCCCATAAAGAGGAAGCATTATTTTGTCAACAGAGTGTTTGTAAAATAGCATTCATGGGGCACAACACAGGTGTTTTGGTACCTGAACTTCACTGCTAAGTCACATTTTGTGCCGTTCATGCTCTCAGCAAAAATTTAGGGCCATTGCATTCTGTGCTATAAAAGAAACCAGCCAGTAAGACCAGCTGTTTCTCTTACACTGCAGAGCAATTTTTTTACTATTTTAAGCGTAACTGTCTTCATTCATTTGACTGACCAGGCTAGTTAGAATGAATGCAATAAATCCCTGCCTAGAATTATGTTTGAAAGAAACATACAAAAGTAGTTTCTCCAAGGTAATGGTAATATCCTGGATTTCATTTCTTCAAGAGTTTCTTTACAACAATGAAAAGGAGGAAATCTACACTTTGTAAGGGTGTTGTGAACCCAGGAGAGGTGCACTTCTTGCTAGAATCAGTAAGTACAGTATTATAGAAGTTTTAAGTCTTCATTTTGTAAGGATAATCACATTCCTGTTCTACTGTGTGTTCCAAGCAACCAAAAGAAGTTTGCATGTGCTTTAGTGAAAAAGTAGAGTTAAAAAATAGATCAGGTTATCCATATTTTATAAAATGGCTATTTATAAAGATCAAAGGTTGCAAAAAAGGTAAAGAGAAACGTTTTATATATGATTTGCCATATCAATTCAAGATGGCAAACTACTCTACATACAGTACTTTGTTACAAATATTCAGGTACTCTACAAATCATCACAAATTAGAAGTAACCTAAAAATATAAAATATGCTTATTTGTTTGTGTCACTGCAATAAAAATTTTAGGAAACATGACTGGAACATTAAGCCAAAGTACTTTAACTGAATCGTACTTTGCTCTGTTTCATTGTACAGTTTAGCTATACATAATAAAAAGTTTATAAGGACAACAGCAAACACAGCATTACACTTCAGCAACCACCTCACCTTGGAAATGACGTCACAGTACAAACAGCCTCATTTTCTTTGAGGACAGAAGCTGCCTCTTGCCGTCTTTTTCTCATGTTGTCTTGCACGGTGTTGAATTCAGACATGGTTCCCCCATACGGCTGCCCAGGCGTCCCTTCTATCATGTAGCTTCCATATTCTGGTCGCCAGAGTGTTGGGTGGCTATAAAAAACCAATAGCCTCATTTAAATATTCCTACAACTTCGAAAAAGATGGATTATTTACAAGAATTTCAGAAATGAATGCAACTTTCAAGAAAAATCTCCTAAAGTTGATTGTTTGGTAGAGTAACACAACGTACCTTCCAATGTACCTCATTGCCAGGAAGCAGTGAAAAGAAAGTTTGGCAGTAGGAAGTGTTGCTGTATCGTGCAATAAGCAGGATTTGCCTATGTCAAATTGCAATCACCTTTAGTATCTGCCTCAACCTTTGTTTCTTGGGGTTTTGACTGAAACTGGAAAATACAGAGCATTCAACTGCTTCCACAGTAAGGAAGGCGAGGCAAATGTTACACTCAATTTCTTCTTTCTACTGTCTGTGAATACCTGGTCCTGTTTCACAAATTTATTAGGTTAAGAAACCAAATGAAGTTTGAGCGCACCTAGTCACCCTCTGGCTAGTTGAAGTAGGGATATGATCCAGTTATTCCTGAAAACTCCATGGGAGAGGATGGGGAAGAACTGCCCCGCTGTCCTTACACCTACCTGCCTAATTCTGCCAAAACCAGGAGACTGCTCCTACAGACAACAGGCTTCCCCATACAGCCCTCGCTTGCTCTTGTAGTCAGGGATACACAAATGCTTTGTGGGGCAGGGGAGGTGTAGTACCCCATTAGTGTGTACACACAGACACAAAACCAGAGCAAGACAAAACAAATACCCAAACCACAACTTCTGTGGGCTCACCCTTACATCCTCCTTTCTTTCAAGTCCTAACACCAAAGGTGCATGGACTGACTGCAAGTGTGCTCAAAATCTTTCACTGCCTGCACCCCAACTTTATCTGAAAATATCGGTATCTGTGGCTCAGTTTTACCGAAAGCAGACTTGAAAGTTAAGCCAGGTCTACAAAATTCTGTACAGTATCTAACAGGAGAAAAAAGAAAAAGAAAAAGAAGGAACAAGAAACAGCTACTCACTTGGGGTTTACCTTCTCCCCCTTGTCTTGCAGTGTTTGAAGAACTTCTTCACCGCAGAGCACCAAGCGCACTTTCTTATTCTCATGGTCAAATTTTACTAACATATATTCCACCTTGTAAACAATAAAAACAAAATAAACAATTAAATAGTAAGAATTTGTTCACACACAAATCTTAAGCATCAAGTGAAAAAAAAAGTCAGACTGAACTTTATCTCTACAGAAGCTTAAAAACGATCACTAACTATGAATGCAGTAACAATACCACAGAAGATGGCTGCATGCTTATTTCACCTTGAATAAAGAATTGAAATTCCTTGAAAGCGGCCTTGAAAATTTTTTCCCCTCCATTTCTAATTGTGGATATTTCGCCAAAAGCTTCCTGAATTTGTATTTGCCTCCACATTATTTTTCAGACAAAAAAAAGCCTTAAACCCCTATGCAAGCTATTAACCACAAACATCTCTGTCATGCCATGAGTTACAGTCTCTACTGCTGACAAAAAACCAACCAACCAAGACATCCATTTACTCCCATCGCTCGTTGGAGCTATTTAAGACTAGCACTGCAGAGCCTCATTTACACCACGGAAAGCCCGGGGTTGTCGCAGACAGCGTGCTATTAACGCACTCCAGCTCTTGGCACAGGGCGGGGGTTTCTACCCCTTCCCAATTCAGCTTTGCTGCCAACCTTTTTTTCCCCTCCTGCCCAGCGCCGTACCTTGCCCCCAGGACCTCCACCTCCTGGCCCCAATGTCCCTGCCCAAGCCAGGACCCACGCCGGTGGAGAACTCCATCCAACAAGCTGCTAACAGCAGCGCTGCCAACGCTGCATCCGAGCACTGGAGGATACCGGTTCCCTAACGGATTATCTGAAAGCAGCCAAACCTGGAACACCCTCACGTCAAACTTTCTATTCCACGCACGCTTGCTATGAAAGCTCCCGCAAGGATTTTTAGAGCGCCACTGAGTATAGCGACTTAACAGCTGCCTGGACCTTATAGGCCTTCGGTACTTACTGATAAAATCTATATCCTGACACCTATTTGGCAGAGGATGCTTTGCACTGTTTAGGAAGCGTGAAAGACAAAACAGCCTCCAAGCGTGACGTGCCACCCGCCACATAAAAGCAGAAGTCGTGCATGGAAATGCATCACAAGGGTGCTGGCTTTGAAAACCCCCAGCTGGACCAGCGGTGATGCGCAGTGCCTATTTTTGGAGGCTCTCAAACCACTGCCTCCAAGACTTTGACAGCTCCATCAACCTGTAGTTAAAAATCCAGGCTGCGGTTCCACAGCTAGAGCTTGTCAGAGGTTTTGCGCCATGCTCCTCGGTTTTCTTTTCCGACACTGTCTAGAACTGCATCCACTGGTACCTGCCAAACACACTGCTCCTGCTCCAGAAGCTTAGATTCACACAAGATGCCGATGTTAAAGTTGCAGCGTATTAACACGTGGGAACTTCTATTTAGTACAGAAGTCTGATGTTTATAGGAAAACAGCTTGCCAAAACAGGGAACTTTACAGTGTGCTGGAAAACACTGTACAGTAGATTTGTGGGCTTCATGTTCTTTGGTTGCTTCCATGCTCATGGAAGAGTTATTGCTAGCTACTATGGCAATGAATATAATCCTCTGTTGGGATTTGTGATTAAATCACAAGCAGCATTATCCAAGAGTGTTTGTAATTCTACAGAATCTGATTAGACACAAACTCTAGAGGGACTCATTCAGCAATTATACATGTTCTCTATATTTTTTTAAGATCAGATTTTAATCCCTGAAGAAAAATAATGATTTCTCATTTCTGTGCAAGACAGCATTTCTTTGCGTGTATATTTTCTGGTTTGTGTGTATTATGCCACAGTAATCTACTTGAGATAGCTGCAGATGGTAGTCAACCAGAACACACTCCAGTGCTGATTTACCTGTTGCCTAGTACCAGTCTCTCCAGTGATACCCGACCCATGATCACTGTCAATAAAAAGTGACTTCTCTCCCACCTTCCAGTTTCCTACCACGATCAACATCATCTCCTCCTGCTTTGGAAAAGCATCATCCTCACTGGGACCCAGCCTAAACTAGAGGAGGTAAGCAACCACACAGTTCTCCGAGTCATACGGACGGACGTGGGAACGGGCACGAAGCCCACCGCACACCCGGCCTCCCACCACACCGCCGGCACGGGCTGGTGGCAGAAGGCAGGGCAAAGGAGCCACAGCTGCCCTCGAGAGACCACAAAGCTGAACATTTGTCCACCCTTACGTGAGTATGTTACTGTGGTTTAGCCTCCTGTCTTAAAGACCCCTCTCCAAACATAACTGCAATGAGCTGGTAGTGTGAACGCTGCACTTCCCTATAAACCATATTACAAGTTTCACGACATAAAGTAAGCCAAAAGCATAAAGAAACATTAAGCCAAGAAGGCAAAACCAAAGAAAACAAAGTGTTTCATAATCTGTGCGCAGTACTGAATACATTGCATTTATGCATCTAGCTTTAGAAACAACTACTACACTTGCCTCCAGAAACACTGACTAAATCTTCAAAGCTGTCTTAACACACAGAAGATCTGCCATTAATTTTAATGAGAAAAGAAAAAAAAAAACTTCAGACGGCTGCCAACAATTCCCAGTAACCCACAGAGTATCTGCCAACAGAGGGACTGACTGAATAGGCATCCTTAAAGAATTTAATTTAAGCTCATCAAAAGATTTAGCCTACAGCTAGAAGGAGAGAAACAAATTCAGAGTTCATGCATTTTTACATTTAACTTCAGCTCATCATTCACAGACTTCTCACATGTTTTCTATCCACAAAGTTCAGAGAATTGCAGCCAAGCTGAAAGCATCGGGATGCCCGGCAGAGCTTCAAGAGTCCCAAAACCAAACATGTGGGGTTTCACCCGACATTCGTAATTCATCATCGTGCAAGCCCTTCAGAGATCACTTGCCTTCCTAATTTTAACTAGTCTCTCTAGCAAGCAGCAAAATACACGTCAGGTCAAACTACTGATGCAGAAGGCTGACAAGCTGCCTTGCTAAGAGCCAGCTAGGAAAGCCCACCCTGCCACGGTAAGGAAGGCGGCCACTTTGGACCCACGTGCCCAGCCGGTGGTCTCACCCCGCACCAAACCCCACGCATCTCCATCCTCCGGCCGGCACACGCTGCCAGGCTGCCGAGGACAAGGGACGACCTCCCAGCTTCTCCCCGCAGACGGATGCGCTCAGCGCTGCTTCGGCGGACGAACCTCTGACCAAGCCCAGGTCTGTCTGGCTCGCAGAAGCGCTGTGGCACCTTACCAGGAGGAGGAACAGTTTGGCAAAGCAAAAGCTGTAAATCCACACACACGCACGGAGCAAGCCTGAAAAAATTGTTCGAAGTTAAATGCATTAAAAAAGTAAATAGATTCTCAGTTAAAGCAAATAAGCTGAGTACGAGAGATCTAGCCATGAGCCAACACAAGGAAAAACCATCCTTTACAGGCTTCCTTCCTCTCGGCTACCAACCTGCAACATACTGCATCTACAGACTCCTTCCAGGCCAGCTCCACTCCACTGCTGTGTCTTCCAGAGACAGAGCATGAACCATGAGCTTGCTGGGAGGACAGCCCCGAGAACGGCTTTACTTCACTTGTCACGATTATTTCTCAGTTGGCTCCCAAGGAAACGTCAAGCTTTTGAAAATTATTTGACATCGCCTCTGTAAATACAACCACAAGAGAGACCTTGAAGCCCCTCAACGGAGGAGGAGCCAAACCGTTCTCCGTGCAAGAAGCCAAACAGTGGTGCTGGACTTGCTCAGTGGCAAAGTGAAAGACAACTGTTGGCTGGAAATGGGTAAGCATGTCTGAAATTGTGTTTGAATGCTGAGTTATTTGACCATAATTACACATATTATTTCTCCATAAAGGACACTACTTAAAACCAAAGAAATATCAGTCAAGTGACTCTTCAGTAGCAATTCTAAGGAACAAGAAAAACCAAAGTCAACACACGCCCCACACAATATCGCCGTCCAAATACTTGCCTTGGCACTGGTCTGCTTTCCAACGTCAAACCCCCTCCTCGCACACTCAATTTAACATCATCATGCTAAGCACACTGGGAACAAAACCTATCTAATAGTTGAGAATAAAGCCATTCAAAGTATTTGCCACAAGGTATTTCTGCATATGAAAACACAGGTAAGCATATAGTCTGGACTTTGGTAAGCTCAGAAGGAAGGTGCCAAGAAGATTATACAATAGAGGAAAATAGTTTAAGAAGAATGATCTGAAAAGCTTTTTTGAGAGGAAAGCAATGCAAGTCTGTACACGCTCTACCTGGGAAAAACACCTCCCGGTGTTCACCTTTTACCACAGTCCTGATCATCCATCTCAGCTGCGGATCTCCCATCACTGGAAGTGTTCAAGGTCAGGTTGGATTAGGCAACCTTATCTACTGGAAGATGTCCTTGCCCACAGCAGGGGGGTTGGAACTAGATGTTTTTTAAGGTCCCTTCCAACCCAAACCATTCTGTGATTCTAAAAAAAAACCTGATCACAGGTGACTCATGGACCACTGCTGTTCTTCGAGGACTATCTTACTGACAGTTTCTTTCTCCTTCCACTGGGCAACTACTGCCGTATGTACTTGGAGCAACTGTTAGCAGTTTCCTCGTACGTACCTTCCGCTGAGCCTGGAGCTTTACTAGTAATTGGAAATTTTTCCTAAACACCCAATGAGGTCTCATGGCTTTTGTTTACTATTACCAAAAGCCACTGCAACACTTAATATAAGTATTTTCATGCAGTATGCCTCATATATTTATGTATACAGTAGAAAATAAAATCTAGGTAAACTTTCTTCTGAAGAGCATCAAAGAAGCAAAACCCTTTTCACTAGTTATTAAGCTCCATTATGGGGGAAAAAAGGTAGTTCCCCCATACATTTATTGGTCAGTTAATGTATCATTAAAATACCATGTATCATTAAAATGACAGTCTATGGAAGAACAAAGTTTTAATAATCCGACTATTCATTGAAGAACGTCTGCCACAAGTTTTCAGTGTTAAGATAGAAAAAGCAGATTTATTCTGTAGGTGCACATAGTTCTGATGAATGTAGAGCATAATA